TCAAAGCCACAACCGGTAATATGGGGCGGATTTGTGAATAACCGGTCATCAGAGAGTTGAGTACTGGGGAGAGAGACCTTTGGGAGGGGGAGGGGAGACGGGCGCTACAGTCGTAATCTCGCTTCGTCACGCGCTGCGTTTTCTCACATTGCCTTAGCCTAAGGTTTAGAGCGCAGGATTCTATGTGTAGTACGGCATCTATGGCTATTTTTGGCTATACATTGTCTATTGTCGTCATCTACAACTCCTTACTTGCGCGAGGTCAGACGCGTCGCATACGGACACGGCGTACGACGATTGTGTTGTCACGTACCCATTCAGGAGGAGGTTGAATATGGGCTGTAGTTATCACAAGAATGCTGAGATATTGGCAAAAGTCGGACCCGGGACGGGACTCGAACTCGCATACCTAGCCTTACAGCACGTGTGGGCGATGTAAGGCTATGGCACAAAATGCCATTAGAGCTGAGAAGGCAAGAGTGGCCCCGGTAGCGTAATGGATAACGCAACCGCCCGGTAAGCGGGAGATGCGGGTTCGAGTCCCGTCCGGGTCCGACTTTTGCCAATATCTCAGCATTCTTGTGATAACTTTCGGAGCGCGCACTGCAGAACAGCAGTATCAAACTAAAACAGCTTTAGAGCATGGCCGTAGTGTTTGCGGGTAAGAAAGTGTCTTTTCGCGGGGCCTATTGGAGAATTGGAAAGTAGGAAAAAACAGGAGAATCCGAACAAAGGGTTTCAATACCACCTCCGCTGCTCTCCACTCGGGGTTCTTTCGGAATCGATTCATATTTGATCTATTTTGGAATTTTCACGGCTCTCTGACTGTCTGTGCAGTCACGCTGGGTAATTTGACCTTAAAATGGAACTCCTGAGCCTAACAATGAAAAAGTGATGAAATGAAGACTGTGCTGTTTCTATGCCATAAAGGTGGTCATCACTGCGGTAGGAGGCTCAACAGAAAAAGAAAAAAAGACATGAATTGAAAAATTACCGAAGAAGAGAGGAGGATTAATTCTTATAAAACCGATGACCCTTCGTTAAACCTGGGATTCATGGATCCTAACCTCCGTGGGCCACTGATTATATAAAATTGGCAAATCCTAATAATAAAGAACTTGTGCGTTCTGGAATCTGACAAGTAGGAATCGCTCTGCTAACGCCATGACTAATTCATTTATGAGCGCACTCCGGGTGACGGGGAGGGGGTTTTTTGTATTTCTGATATTTCCCATCGACATGTCGAGCCAGGGGAGAATTGTGAAGTCTTTTAGCCTCAAAATGACACCAGCTAGGGTTTGCAGCGAAGACTAAAGAACGCTTGTAAAACAATGAAGTACCATAGAAATATCATTCAACATGGTGGCTCGATGAGCTTGCTCCGGCTTCGTATGAGTTCACAGGTACCACCAGAGTGAGAGTTGTAAACCAGAACAAGTGAAGTAGCGAAAGTACAAAATGCACCCCCTCCCCCCACCGCCGAACAGCTCCCAATTGTGCTTGGTGGCTTGTCTCATACTGGTCTTGTTTCATATTGTTTCTCTCCTTTCCCATGTGAACTAAGAGTGAATACATATAAAAATATCAAATAATTGATGTAACATCATTGTCTTTAGGTCTTTCCGGGTCAGAGAATACAGGTGCCATTTTCGTCGAATGATAATGTGTTTGAAACTAATGTTCTTGCTACCTCAACTCCTCGTCATGGAAGCCAAATAGCAGGCGGCGAAAGCGCCGGTAGGTCCTTTTTGGGTTCGCATTCGTGACCAGTGTTTTCTAAGACTTATAGTTTATTTGTGATTCAATATCTTTTTTTTCCATTACAGTATCTCACATGCGATTTATACATTGCTCTGCTTGAAGCAGTCTAATTTGTATTCACCATTGTTTCGGGAATAAAATTGGCTTTCTCAGCTGATGGAATTCGTAAAGGCCCAGGCGGTGCTGTTCCAGCACAACATCAACGTGGCGGCGGCAGTCTCATGAAAACACAAAGCGCACCTCTTCCTGGGCTTGACGAAGCTGATACGGATTGTTTGCAACGATTTTTGAAGATCAAGGTATGTTTGCCACATGATCGAGACTATAGGATTTCTGTCGACCGGAGCTTTTATGGCTATGAGGGTCCAGAGATATTTTGCCATCACATCTTGGGCCGTATGCTATACTCCCCCTCGAGGGGAGATATCCCCTTCTGAACCTCCACGCCCTGCCGTTATCCTTAATGATTAGCCGTTTGTTTCTCTCCGCTCTCGTCCCACGTGGGCCACATCTGGGCATCTATACCCCTTGGCTGGCGCATGGCCCTGTGGCGAATATACTGTGGGCGAGCGCAGAGTATAATCGATGTGCTCCCCTCTCCCCAGCGAATATCGTTGGGGGGGGGCAGGATGCAGAGAGGCAGAAGCAGAGAGACGAGGGGCATCGTTAGAGAGAACGGCAGAGAGCGGAGATTTACTGGGGGATATCTCCCCTTCGAGGGGAAGTATAGCATACGGCCCCTTCTGTCTTGAGCAGTTGACCAGAGAAAAGATGGAACGAGGAAGGAAACTGGGAGTAGAGAGGCTGTGCGGTTGACAGATACCCTTACCACGCCGCTAAATTACCATGGGTAATGGTGCAGTAGGGTGGAGGCTTGGTGGTGAGCTGTGAAGCATAAGCGAGGAATCGCATACGTCGAATCGAGTCGTGGTGGTTCAGTGGTAAGGTTCGACGTTCGACGACTCGATTCGACGTATGCGATTCCTCGCTTATGCTTCACAGCTCACCACCAAGCCTCCACCCTACTGCACCATTACAAACTTTACCTGCTCATAAGTTGCTTGTGAAATGCAGGTTGCAGTTTTGCTATCTATATTTGTAAATAACCTTATAGACTCTATCGATCTACCCAGGTCTCCATTCAAAGTTCCGTAAGTTGGCGGACTTTCCTGGTTAGAGGCATTACTGACTGCTGTTTCGTCCCGTTTTTGTTGTTTTACGTGCTCTCTACCTTCTTCTGAAGTTTTGTTGCGTTACTCCGTTGAAGACAAACCGCACACTCATCACCGAGGACGGTTTATGCCATATGCAAGGTGAGTGAGGGTAGTGATATCCGAGTGCCGCCTCCGTACTTCGACCGCACCGTCCTCAATGTAGAACCTTGCGTCGATACCTAAATCCCACCGCGAATCGGCGGCAGATAGCATATGTGAGAAGGCGCAGACTGATAGCTCGTTTGGCTATGGTTAGGCGCGTGGCTGGCCATGCGCCAGCGCGAGGGAATCCAGGAGGCGGCACCCGGTAATCACACGCTACTGCAGCTGCGGACCCATTACCTCGCCAGTGGCAAGGACTTGGATAAAGTGAGATGGTTAAACGGTTCGTCTCTGAGCCCTCTATCATGCTTTTTCCACTTTGGAGAAATGGGATGGTGCGCGACCTTAGTAGATGAGTGCAAGGGAAAGCGTATGTTTCGATGTGGACTATCATTTTTATAATGCGCGCCATTAGACTGAAAAGGGATTGACAGACCCCGCCCATACATTTGGCAAAGTGAGAGGGCGGGAGAGTCTGCATCCGGTGAGAACGAGGCAGTAAATTCCCTTATAATCAGTCGGTGCGCTTTCTACCGTTGCCCTGTTCCCTGATTCTCTAGGTCGTTGCTCTTATACTATCCCCCGCTCCAATTTTATTTTCTCTTCACCCAATTCGCAGCTTCTCCGATTCTACGGTGCCCCAAACCGTGAGCCGGCGAAAGATAGGATATCTTGGTGGTAGTTGTCAGTTTCTATAGAGGGGGTTCCGGGGTGGGACGGACAAACCCTTTGCCGTAGTTTGAGATATCTCCTCCTCATGGGAATCCCCCACCTTGTTGGAACTGCGTCAAATCACGGTTCATTTAGCTTCCTCACAATTGTTATCGAAGGATATCAGAAGATTGCTGGTTTCAGGTGAAACAGGTGACTGAGTCTGACGGCACCGTGTCAGGGACTCTTCTCGTCACTCCGAATTGCCTGATGTTTGATCCAGATGTTAACCATCCTTTAGTCAAAGAAAATGGACAGGATTTATATGGGATGGTGGCAAAGTAAGTGTT